AGGAACCACCAGTGACCCATCACCCCGCTGGCTGCAAAACCTGGCTCCGCCACCGGGCTGTGGTTAAGGCACCAGGCTGGGATCCAGGAGATCGGGGCTCAAGCCTGGCTCTGCCACAGGCTCCTTGTGTGACCCAGGGCAAGTCACTTCGTATTTGCACCTCGTTGTCCCCTCCCCCCGCCCAAGTGACAGTAATAACCCTGCCCGGGGGTTCTGCGAGGCTGTCAAAGCAAGGAGCCGCAGCCGGGCTGCCCCAGGCCCATCTCGGTACCTTCCTCGCAAGGGCCCGCTCCTGGGAGCGTCGTTGGTCTGGCATCAGTCTCCCAGCTGTGCGGATAAGGTACGAGTGGAGTAAAGGCAGCCGTAGAGGTGACCTGTCCTGAGAGAGGTTGGGAGTGTCGTGTTTTGTCGTCTAGCTGTGATGTCATCGCCCCAGCATGATGTCATCGGGTCCTAGATTGGGCTACATGAAATCCCGTGGCCTGTGCTAGGCAGGAGGTCAGACTAGATGATCAAAATAGCCCCTTCTGGCCCGGAAATCAATTAATTTTCAAGCTACTGCATTTTTTTTTTAAAACAGATGCTGTAATTAGCCTCTTTGGATGGGGTTAATTACTCCAGGTCAATTGAAACCTGGGCAGCTGTGGGAAATCAACTCCCCCGGAACAGCTGGATGTACCACACCTTGCTTGTGAACCCCCACCCCTCAAATCAACTGATGCCTCCCCACCGAACTCTCTGGACCGATTTTGAAAGCATGTTAGGCTCACCAGACACCCTGAGCGGCTCCCACACTAAAACCCTTAGCAACGCAGATGCTAGCATGGCAACAGCAATCACTCTGCTAACGAGGCCTGTATTGTCATGCAGATAGAGCGCCAGAGACATATTTTCCCCCCCTTGGTTCAATCTATTTTTATTTTCTTCTCCAGACAAAATAAGCGGGTGGGGAGGGAAGTTGGCTTGGGCGCGTGCAAACCCGTTGTCCCTCCCTTTAAAGCCTTCCAGAGCCTTGTAGGTGTGACACTTCGGCCCGGGCTTGGGTTCACTTTAGGGGAGTCCGGGAGCACCGAGGGGCAGGGAAGGAGCGGAGAGGGGCTCGGAGTGGAAAGCAACGGCTGGGAGAGTGGGGGGCCAAGGGGCAGAGAGAGAGAAAGGGACGTGCTGCTGGAAAACAACAGTCAATACAGCGACACCGAGCACAGTCAGTGTAGCTGGCGCGCAGGCAAATCATTCCCAGTGCCTATTGCCCGCTCCAGGGGGCAGAGTTAAGGTTGTGTGGGCGGGTACCTTCACTCTGTGTGAGTGTTCTGGATGGGCGCAAGATGCCTCCAGGCAACCTTAACTCTGCATTACCAGAGGTGTTTGGTTTGGGCCGGCACAGGTGGCTCTAGGAGGCAGTATGGCCTAGTGGGCTAGGAGGCAGCACAGGCAGGGTTCTGTGCCTAGCTCTGGCGAAGACTCACTGTGTGACCCGTGGGGGTGGGTTACTTCCCCCTCTCGGTGCCTCCTATAAGATGGGGATAAAGCGACTCACCGGTGGGGATCGTAACAGGAGACGGATCCCTCCTGGCAGGGGGAGCTGTGGGAGAAAACTGCTTCCCCCAAGCTGGGTAGAGCCTTTCTCCTCCCTAGTCGAACTCACCCACCTTCGTGAACCATCTAGGGAGGAGAATCAACAAGTGCTTGGAGACCCCGGCTGAGATCAGGGCCCCATTGTGCCAGGCGCTGTACATATACCGAGAGAGACAGTCGTTGCGCTAGAGCAGTGGTTCTCAACCCGGGCTCCACGTATCCCTGGGGGTACGCAGAGATCTTCCAGGGGGTACATCAACTCGTCTAGATATTTGCCTAGTTTTACAGCAGGCGACATAAAAAGCACTAGCAAAATCAGTGCAAACTAAAATGTCACACAGACAATGACTTGTTTATGCTGCTCTATATACTATACCCTGAAATGTAAGTACAATATTTATATTCCAATCGATTTATTTTGTAGTTATATGGTAAAAAGGAGAAAGTCCGCAACTTTTCAGTACTAGTGGCTGTGACACGTCTGTATTTTTACGGCTGATTTTGTAAGCAAGTCGTTTTTAAGTGAGGTGAAACTTGGGGGTACGCAAGACAAATCAGACTCCTGAAAAGGGGCCAGTCCTCTGGAAAGGTTGAGAGCCACTAGAGAGCTTACGATTTCAATAGGGAAGCCAGACCAAGTGGGAGAAATGGAGCCTCATTATCCCCCATTTAGAGATGGGAAACGGAGACATCCCGAGATTAAGGTCTGGATCCCCAAAAGCACTTGGGGGCCTAACTCCCGTTGAAACCAGTGGGAGTTAAGAGCTGAATTACTTTAGAGGACCTGGCTCGAAGTGCCCAAGGAGACACAGGAAGTTGGTGGCAGAGTCAGGGAGTGAGCCCCATCTCCTCAGTCCATACCTTAATAACTGGGACACCCTCCATAGCTCAGTAGTAGTGGTGGTATTTCGGGCTTAGCTAGAAAAGCTGGCTGGTTGGCTTGCTTCTGAAATAGAATTGGCCTCCAAACAGGCCTGATTCTCCACGGTCTTGTGGCATCGCGTACCCCGGCGTGACGTGGGCGTGAAATGCTCCTCAGTGAGAGCGGAGGCACTTTACCATGCACTCCAGGACTGCACCGGGGCGGGGCAGGAGAAAAGGGGAGGAGCGGGGGGGGGAAAGTCTTGTGGATTCATCTGGTTTGGAGAGAAATGACGAGAGCCGCTTGTAAGCCCTCCAGCTGAGCAAGGATGGCCCACCTCCCGCGGGAGCAACAACTTGTTCCTGACGTGGCCTCTTGAGCGTTATTCGCCCTCTCGCTCGTGAAGATGGATGGGAATCTCAGCCCCGGCCGTCGCCCCGGGCCTCCCACCCCGGTCACAGATTGGATCTCGTCCTGTGTACGTGTGCTCGTGCGCAGATCACAAACGCCAGCCCTGGCGCGGTGCAGTAAGGTGCTGAAAGGCGTCGTGTGGCCCCAGCAGCCGGGCTGGCCCAGATACAGCTGCCCACTGAGTACCAAATGTCTCCCTCACACTAAAATCCACATGGCGGCACAGATACAATCCATCCTCGCGTGCCCAGCTCCCGTCCCTCTCCCCGTCCCCAGCGTACCTCTCTTGGGGCCAGGTCCAAAGCCCATATGAAAGACTCACATTAGCTCCCCTCTGCTTTGGATCCAGCCCGTTGGCTCCGATCCTGCTCCCAGCCAGCAGGATCCGGCCCTTCGAAGTGAGAAGCCGTTTTCTCACCGTTTACAGTTTAAAGACCCATTTTGCCGACTGCTTCGTTTCAATGTAAATTACAGCCAATTTTCTGGCAGTTATTTACGGAGAGAACGTTTTCAACCCATAAAACTTCCTCACGCCCCAGGAGTAATTAACGTTTCCAATTAATGCCTAATTTAAATGACGATTATGGCTGTTATCATTTCACATGGAGGGGGTTGGTCTTAAAATAGAGCTGTTGCCCCTTCAACGTCCCCTTTCCTACACCTCAGGAGCTGTTTGCTCTCTGTGTTTGATGCGTCTGCTGTTTAAAACCAGAGATCACCAGCCAGCCAGTTTCCATGCTGAGTCAGAGCCGCGTGGCAAGGTCCCGGCGTCTCCGTGGGTGCCAACCACAGCAGCATGGTGTGTGTCTGTCTTCAGGGACGATAGGAGCAGGACTCCTGGGTTCCAATCCTGGCTTTGACACAGACTCATCGGGGCGTGTCACGTGCTCACGCATTTTGGATGTCCATAAACTCTGGGACGGGGACTGTCTCTGACTCTGCGCATGTACAGCGCCTGGCACAACAGGGCCCTGATTTCAGTTAGGGTCTATGCAGCGCCTGGCACAATGGGGCCCTGGTCTCAGCTGTAATTCAAATCCTATAATGTCCATAGAAAGGGAACCCATAAGCAATGGGAATTCATTCCAAAATCTGTATGGACATTTGCGGGAAAGCGTTCCCCTATATTCACCCCAGGGCTGATTTCCAGAGGTGCTCTGCACCGGCAGCCCCCTCGGACTTCAGCTGCAGGTGCTCCGTGCATCTCCAAAGCAGCCCCGATACAGATCCTTGTGCCAATGGGATCCGCGTATTTCTTTCCCTGGGGACCGTGTGGGGTGCAAAACGCATTGCCTCATACGATGCATGTACCTGGTATGCTCTGTTCCTATTAAATATATATGCACGCCGCATGCAGGGTTTACTGATGTTTGTGCAGAAAGCCCCCGCCTGCAGGCGGAGCCTTTCGACTGGGGGGATGTGTTTGGCTGTGAAATTGGACTCCTGGCGTATTAAACTTTTACTGCTGTAAACCCAATCCCATTACGTCCGCCCAGCTCATGCAGCCGTAACCCTGGCCGCTGCTTTGCTTCCAGAATAACCTGGGCATTGAAGCTTCCTGGGAGCCAGTTCCTTGCCGTTATGGCTGGCGACCCTCCTTTAATTGCTAAAATTATTCCAAAGCCCCGGGTCGGTTGCCAGGCGGCCGTTCCCGTCTTGATTGTAACCGGGGCGACAGAAGGACTCAGAGGAGCTTGGAGTGCAAAGGGACTGTCTATAAATGACGGAACATGTAGCTGGGTGATTTTCAAGACCCCTGGTAACACGGTGTCAGAATGAAGGAGCTGCCAAGGAGGCTTGAGACTGCAGACTGCCCGCTGCGGGCGGAGAGAGCGCCAAGGACGCAGCAGATGGTCGTACATGCTTCAAACAAGAGATCAGGGAGGCCTTGCACTGAAGTCGAGTGTAGAGTCTGGAGCCCGGCCCTGGGCTGGTTCAGCGTGGGGCATAGAACCCCCCCTGACACTGCCTCCTTGGCTCAGCCCGAGCCCACGGCTCGCCAGTGCTGCCTGGGGTTTCAGAGGAGGCGCTGTTGCCCCATGGGGTGTAGAATGGCACACCCTGCCCCGGGCACCCCATCGCTCCGTGAGTTCTAGCTAGTCCGGGGAAGTAGGGGGGTGCGTTCTCTGACAGCTCGTCTCTTCCGTTCCAGACAAGAAGTTCGCGGCACTCCCAGGGCTCCCAGCCCGCCCTGGCCGATCAAGCCAAACTCTCCTTCGCCTCAGCCGAGTCCCTGGAAACCATGTCTGAAGCCGAGCTGCCCATTGGATTCAACAGGATGAACCGGTTCCGGCAGAGCTTGCCTTTGTCCCGCTCCACCAGCCAAACCAAGCTCCGGTCACCAGGTACCGCAGGCCGGCTCCCACTGCGTCTCCCTCGGGGGCGTTTTAACCCTTTGCCCCACCAAAACGTCTACACATGCCAGGGGAGCTGGGGCTGGCAGAGTCCATCAGTGGGACGGGGGGCTGACTGTGTGTGCTCCTGTCTCCCTCTAGTGGCTGCCTCTACTGACTACAACAGCCTGCTACTTACTGACAGCTGAGGGAGTTACTCCTTTAGCTCCAGCGCTAGGGGGTTGTGCCTTTGATGACCCATGGCATTAGTATGTGTAAGGGGGCAGGGATCAATGGTAGGGTACCTAGGAATGACCACATTGAAGTGGATCAGACCAGTATTGTGCCAGCTATTGTCCAAGAAACCCTGTTGAAGGCATTTATGGGTAACTTTGTCCGTAGGAGGAGAAACCTCTTCCTAAAGCCCCCATCAGCGAGGAGTTGGCTGCTCATCAGGCCAGCCTTTGACTATTCTGATCCGCAAACGCTGGTCACTTATTGTTCCCTGGCCCAACAGCTCCAGTGCATGCCCACCAACAGCACAGGGCTCCAGTCCGGCAAACCCAGGCCGCTGGGGCCCAGAAATGCAAACCGCTCCCCCTTAAGCGTCCAGAGAACTCCCGCGGCTGTAAGGAGCGAGTTATCGGAGCGGATGAGATGAGCGCTCCTTCCCGTGGGGTGGCAGCAGCTGGGATCTCCCAGATGACAAGCGCTGGAGGTCGTTGTTACTTTTCGGGAGTGGCTGGGGAAGCGTTGAGACGCAGAGTGGGGTGGGGAAGGAAGATGGGGATCAAAATGATCCCTGTGGACCGGCCAGGGCTAGAAATCAGCTTTCCGACGACGTCAAGTACAGCCGCAGCCCTGGAGCCAAAGATCCCCCTGGTTTGTGAAGGGTTAAATACGGCTCCGGGTGGGAAGTTTGCGGCTAAGCCCGGGTCACTAGCACTTCGTTTTTAGGTGAGATACTGGACTTTAATTTATGTCACTCTTCCCTGGCTTGAGCAGTGTTTTACTGGCACTGGTCTGGACATGAATATAGAGTAATAACAATAATATGGGGTCTATAGACCCCCCAAGGAGATGGGGAAACTGAGGCACAGAGCCAGGAATAGCACCCGGGTCTCCTGATTCCTAGCCCCTTGCCCGACATACTGGGCTGCCGCGCTGTCAGTCAGTGCCTGCTCGGAGCTGTGTTTTTACCCTTTCTCCCCCTTCTCTCCCATCTCCGTTTCCAGGGGTCCTTTTCCTGCAGTTCGGGGACGAGACGAGGCGGGTCCACATCACCCACGAGATCAGCAGCATGGACACGCTGCACGCCCTCATCGTCCACATGTTCCCCCAGAAGCTCACCATGGGGATGCTGAAATCGTCCAACACCGCCATCCTGATCAAGGACGAGTCGCGCAATGTCTTCTACGAGCTGGAGGACGTCAGGTGAGGGCCCCCGGGAAGGAGGCGGGGGCCGCAGGCGCGCTCAGTGGGGCGGGGAGAGGGGGGTAGACAGAGATTCTCTTCCAGCTGGGCTCAGAATTCCGACTCAGGTTTGCTCCCTGCATGGTGACGGCGCCAGTGTGTTTGCCGGGCCAATTCCCAGATGCTTCGGAGCAAGGGGAACTCCTCTCTTGTGACATGCCCTGGCTGATCGGCCAGTGTGGCCCGCGTGTCCCATCCCTCCCTGACCCCGCAGCAGACGGACGTCCTGACGCGTGAGATTTGTTTGCTCCCATTTTAGCACGGAGCGAGGGGGGTGCTGCCGGTGGTCCAGGGGCTAGCAATCCACACTGCCATTGGGGTGCCCGACTCACTGCTTCGCCTTCTCTTTCAGGGACATCCAGGACAGAAGCATCATCAAAATCTACCGCAAAGAGCCCCTCTACGCCTCCTTCCCAGCCTCGCACATCACCAATGGGGACCTGAGGGTAAGGAGAGGGCGGGTGTCCCACCTCTGGGGGAGGGGCTGTCTCAACTTGTCCCATCTGGGAGGGAGAAGAACTACCCCATTTCATGGGGCCAGGGCTCTGCCATCTCCATGTTGGGTTTGGGGGAAGAATGGTGCCAGGAAATGCACACAGACACACACACATGGGCTGTCGGAAGCTGGACACACACACACACACACACACACACACACACACACAGGCTGTCGGAAGCTGGAGGGCAGGCGTGGCTGTGAGCGCACAGACCTTGCTTGTGGGAGAGCCAGGGGGGCTAGGGGAACACTGGTGCCTGAGTGTGTTTGTGGAAGGAGTTATGGGCTCCCGTTAAGTGTTGCTTTAGGAGATTGGATGGTCCGAGCCCTGGCAGCGGAGTCATAAACATGCTGATTAGGGTATTAATCAGAGTAAATTGTTGTGCTCCTGGAGAGAGCGCAAGGGAGCTGCAATCTGCCAGGGCGTGTGGGATGCTGCTGATCTTCATTTCTGGGGTGCATCAGGGTGAAGGCCAAGGGGGGGCTGGTTCTTCAGGGGTTGGGTTTGCACCTGAATTCCAGTCTCATCCTAGGAGGGAGGGAGGGCTGGGTTTGCACTGGGATCTGGCGTTCTGGTCTTGCCAGGAGTGGGGGAGTGGTGGGCGGGGTTCTGGGTTCTGGGTTTACTCCAGGATCTGCCTTCTGGCCACTTCCGCCTCTACTGACCCTCCCCACTTTGTGTGATCTTCTCTGGGCTCTAAGTCCCTGTGGCAGTGTCTCCTGATTTCACAATGAACGTGTGTGTGTGGGAGAGGTGGGGGTGGAGGGGGATTATTTGGCTCTGCTGACAGCACGTGCCTGTGTGTGTGTGTGTGTGTTTGAAAGTGTGTGTGTGTGTGTGTTTGAAAGCATCAGTGTTTACAAACAAGCAGCTCACACCCCGTAGGGCTCCCCTCCCTTAAGCCCTAGCCTCCAATCCCAGTTTGCTTATGTGAGAAGCAGCAGTGTGTGAGTGAGTGTGTGTGTGTGCACGCGCACGTGCGAGATCACCCCCACACGACAGACTCTAGGCCTGGTTCTCCATTTCCCTGCCCCCTGTGCAGCCATTTACACTAGTGCAAAGCGGGTGCAAGCCATGGCCATCCTGGGGCTGGCAACAGAGGATCGGGCCCTTTCTGTGTTCCTTGCACATGGCTCCGGGCTATGGGCTGCAGCGGAGAGGCGGGAGCTAAGCAGTGTCAGTATCCCCACCCTCCTGTCCTGTGTCCCTGTCTTCCCAGGCCCTTCTGCCTTCTAAACCCCCCCATGTGCAACTGCCCATCACCTGCCGCAGCTCAGTGTGTGAACTATGAACCGCCAGCACATCTAGGGGGGTCGCCAGGGAGAATGGGGGGACAGCGGGGGAGGAGAGAGGTACTGTCACATGCATGCACACCCACGTGCGTGCACACACGTGCAACACACCCGCAAAGGCAGCTCGTCTCGGCGACCCTATGAACCCTCCCCCCTTTTACGGGTCTCCGGGCCCCACTCTGGAAGGGTTCCGCCGGGGTGGGCCTGGGGCTTGCCCCACAAGAGGGGCGAGTGGTTACAGCCTCGGTGGCACTTCTCTCTTCCCTGCAGCGGGAGATGGTTTACACCTCCAGGGAGTCGTCCCCCACCCGCCGGCTGAACAGCATGTCCCCAGCTTCCCACCTCACCTCTGGCTCCCCTCCGCCCGTGCTCCAGTCTTCCTCCCCGTCCCGCTCCCGCATGTCCTACAGCGGCGGGCGCCCGCCCTCCTATGCCGGCAGCCCCGTGCACCACGGCGAGCGCCTCTCCAACCTGCCGCCCGCCGCGGGCGTGTCGCCCAGCCCCAGCGCCATCCTGGAGCGCCGGGACGTCAAGCCGGACGAAGACCTGGCCGGCAAGAACATGGTGCTGGTGAAGAACGAGGGGCTGTACGCCGACCCCTACGGCATGGTGCACGAGGGGCGGCTCAGCATCACCTCCACGCAGTCCCTGGCTGGCATGGGCGACCCCTTCGCCTACGCCGGGGGGCTGTACAAACGGGGCTCGGTCCGCTCCCTCAGCACCTACTCGGCGGCCGCCCTGCAGACAGAGCTGGAGGACAGTCTGTACAAGCCCAACGCCCAGATCTACAGCGACACCTACGGGCCCAGCCTCGGCTTCCGCATGCCCCCGTCCTCCCCGCAGAAGATGGCCGACGGCCGGCTGGTGGACGTCCAGCAGGGGCAGAGCCCTCACAGTCCCTACTCGGGGCCGCCCAGCAGGTCCTCACCTGTCCGCCAGTCCTTCCGCAAAGACTCCTGCTCCTCGGTCTTCATGGACAGCCCCGTCAGCAAGACCCGCAACCCCAGCTCCTCGGGGCCCCCCGAACTCTTCCCAGGCCCCGGGGATCGACCCCTATCAGGGTTTGGCCCTCCCGTGCCTGCCAAGGATACGGAAACAAGGTAAGGAGCGGGGCTTGGATTGGCAGCTTCCCAGCAACGATGGGACTAGGAGACTGACTCCTGGGTTTGCCGTTCGGTCAGGTTGTGAACCCCCTTTTCCAGATGGGGAAACTGAGTCACAGAGAGGAGACAGTCGCACAGCAGTGGCAGAGACGGGAATTAGAACCCAGAAGTCCTGAGATGCAGTAACTGGCTCTGAGCACTAGAGTATGATCCAGCGATACAGGAGGCAGAATAGTTTAGTGGTTTGAGCTGCGGACTGGGCCTCAGGACTCCTGGGTTCTTTTTCTTAACTCTTTCCTGCTGTTGGACCTTGGCTAATGCATCAGGCAGGTGGGGGAATCTGGGGTCTGGGTCACCTCCTGGTGCCACTTTGTAGAGAAAAACTTCAGTGGGATGACGAGGAGGGAGGATGGTCTGGTGGATAAGGCTCTGGGCTGGGCTTCAGGAGACCCGAGTTCAGAGCCTGGCTTTTCACGGGCGCCCTGTGTCACTCTGAGCTGGAGCTTTGCTGCCACTCAGCCCCCATTGTGACGCCGATGGCCGTGTCTGCACCCACGGCGCTGCGTAGTCGGGGGCTGAGGTGGGAGCGAGCTGGGCAGTCCCGCCGGGACATCCATCCAGCTCTTTGCAGCATGCTGGCGTGAGTCTGCGTACCGGGCTGGGAGGGAGGCTGCTCCCAGCGGCCGTGTAGACATACCCCCTTGGAATCCTGGCCCCTTATCACTCTGTGCCTCGGTTTCCCTGGCAGCACGTCCCTATCCCAGCTCAGCAAACTAGGGGCCCCGCACAAGAGTGAGCAATTCTGTCTTCCCCAGCCTGTGTATAAAAAGCCAGAGTCCCCATTGTAACGCTGCCAGTGCAGCAGGGAGAGATGCACACAGGCAGGTAGCTGGTATGGAAATAAGCCATTATCTTGCCTTTCATCTCTCTGCGCCTGTCTCTTCATCTCCCAAGCAATGATGGTCTCATTTGTTGTTCCCAGGGACAAGCCGGGCTGTCAGGCTGCCGGGGGGAGCCATTTGGGATCTGTCCAGGGGGGGAGAGATGGGGGAGGATGGAGGCAGACAGCAAAGGGCAGCGGAATTAGCAGCGCTGTCCCGTCACGAGCTGCTGTACCGGCAAGCGCCTGCGCCAGGACCTCAGATAGACTCATTATTCACAGGCCGCCCAGGGCCCCGATAAGGGAGGACGAGGCTTAAAGAAGGACAAGGCCCTCAGGGACAGACTGAGGGTTGAGATCCCCTGTTAAATATTGCCTGGGCTCTACTGCCAGGGATGGGGGTGGGAGGCTGGAGCAGAGAGAGAGACGGAGGGTCAGATCCCCAGCTGGCGCGAATGGACATGGGGAGGGAATTGACCTCAAGGGAGCTCCACTGATCTACACCAGACGAGGGTCTGGCCCTGAGACTCCAACAGGGTTCGAGCACCTGGGGGGTGAATCCAGACGGGGCGTCCCCCTGGGCAAGGCCAGGACTCTGGGGTCCATAGGCCCTTGGCCTCCCCTGCGGATACCCGGCCCTGGAGGGTCCGTCCGCTGGAGCCCAGATCTAATACAGCTCCTTTGCCCCCCAAAGGGAACGGATGGAAGCCATGGAGAAGCAGATTGCCAGCCTGACGGGGCTGGTGCAGAGTGCGCTGCTCCGGGGCTCCGAGGGCGAGACCCCCAGGTAAGGAAGGGGGGCAGGAGGCCGCTGATCCTGCCCCGGCGTGGGGCAGGTGCCAGGTTGCGCGTGATCCGGGCTTTCCCAGCGATCTCAATAGCCGCGAGCTGCATCCCGCAACGTCCTGCAGGGGGCGCCGGGGGCTATTTTACGGGAATGCGGCGTCATTCAATGGAAGCGCGTGGGGATTGGAGGCTTTAAGCCCCGCCCAGTGATGCGGCTGCCGAGAGGAAACCAAAGGGCGCGGAACATCGCTCTCGTCTCCAGCGGGCCCCGACAAATTATCCAGGGGGGTGGGGAGAGCGCCCTGGACACATGGGCCGTCTGCGAACGAGGCCCTGATCCCAGCTCCCCCGGGATGGTCACCCAGGGCAGCCCCATCGCTGCCGATCGCATCCGCTGGGCTCGGCAGGGCTGAGCGCAGAGCAGGGCCCGGGGACCAGGCCTGTGATAGGCTCTTAGGAACGGCGGTAAGGACCACGCCCATGGTCCATGTGGCCCAGCACCAGCTACTGCCGAGCAAGGTTCCGGATTCCCCCTCCAGGCAACTTTGGCCCAGCGAGCCTCTTCCTACCACCCGTTCGTCAGAGGCTGGCTCCTGCTCCGAGCCAGGAGGGTCGACAGCCCTTCCAAAGCGCTTGGTGTCCCGTCCTTTCACTGTGTATTTCTCCGACTCCGGAGAGTCTTGTTCTCCCTGGATTCGCTCGATCCCTGCTAAGCTCCGGGCCGCTATCTTGTGGCAGTGAGTTCCACCGGCTCGTGGCGCCCAGCGGGCCCGGTGCTCATGGACACTCAGGCCAGTGCAGGCAGTTCTAACAGGGCAAAGGGGCCTCAGAGCGGCTGTAAATCTCACTGGCTCCCCCCTCACAGCCTCACGGCCCAGGGGAACCCCAGCGTGGTCAGCTTGGGAAGGGAGAGGCAGGATCTCCCTTTGGGGCTGTTT